GGTCTAGTTCTCGTAGCGGTCTTTGATGTAATGCCATTGCGTCCTTACAGCCGGCTCGGCACCAGTCAAGCAACTCAGGCTTCTCGGCCTCCGGAACAGGGTCCATACCGCCGTGCCCGCGACGGCTGAGTGCGGTATAAGCCAGGCTGTAAAGATCAGGCAGCCTAGCGTGAAAAGGCTACCACCGTCTCCCTTTCCCTGACTATGGTTGAAGGTGGAACGGAGGGTGCAGGATGAGGTGCGTCGTCTGTTTATCATACTAATAACTTAAGGCTTAGGTTTGATCCCTCTATCTGCGGACATCTTCATCGTAGGCTTAGAGGTGTTAATGAGATAGAATGATCAGTCGAGAATGTTCAATACGTTCATTCAATATTATGTGAAGTCCTGCAGTGGATCGTCAGAGGACAGAGCTTGTGCTTCTTCTAGCTGTGTCTGGTACATTGAGCGGTACCTCGAAGCTGCCTAGTCCTTTGATACACAATGTTACTGTGATTCGTTCGAGGCCTGGCATCGTTTGTCATCTCATCCATTCGTCCGTTATTCTGTGAGAATACACGCAAGATGAATAGATGTATCTGACGGATACGTGAGATCGGCTGAGAGTCGGGTCTTAGGTTGAACAATCAAATCGCTTCACTGGGCTTAAACATTGACATGGTGGCGGTTGCGAGTCTCATTTGCCCTGGCTTTGTTTAATGAGCTTTGTCTTTGTTATATATATATTACTTCGTTTAGCGTAGGATCTTGTAGTTAGTGTTTGGAGTAGACGTCCCCCAAAAGTGACAGGCGATTGGCATCTCCTATGGGAGCTATAAAACAGCAATGTCTGTGTTGTTAAATTCACGATGTATCGAACCTATTCCTCGAAAGCCTGTTTTTATCCGGATAGAGACATCACACAATGAGAAGTGCCTATGTCGATAGCACTTCAATAGGCTAGTGGTGGTTTGACCTTGAGGGAAAAGACTGCAGCTATGAGTGAGGTTTTGCCCCTGGGAGACCCCATGAATAATTGCGAAATACACCAGTGAGGTTGATGAATGATAGAGGCGTCAGACGACACAGGTGAGTCTGGACCAAAGTTGGTTTGATCTCAGGAGGCGAGAACAGTTCAGCAGATGACGCACGTGCGGCGAACGATCGGTTCTCTTTTTCGCAGTATGATGGAGTTCGAAAGAGTTCCATTTACCTGTTCTCTTGGGGAATAAGTGATGCCTTCTTTATATGCTGTAAATGCCCTGCAGTCGGAGGCAACTTCAGCCCGCTTGGAAGCAAGGCAGATCTTGCATGTCCACCTCGGTCGGAGCATCTCGATCTGTCCTATGCAAGACTTGTCTCACCCATTCTATAAGACAGTCATATGCGTGTACTATCCCTTTTCGACCGAAACCGACAATTCGTTCGTTGCTAGACTGAGGTTAAAAACATTAGTGACAATGCTGTGTACTGGAAGACTTTTCGACCTAAAGACGGCGGCTTTCGGCCGCGAAGTAGTTGCGTCTACTCCAGAGGCTTCATGTATTCCCAATTTTGGCGTTGTTCATCTCCAGCATATTCGCAGAATAGTTGAGAAGCACCGCTGGGTGAGTGGGGGTGTTTGGACGGCAATAATTGTGGCTCAGTCTCTGAGCATGATGAGCAGTATCGGGTTTGAGCCTGCTCGTAGTACCAGATAATGAAACCCCGAGATAGAGTCCAAAAGTCCGGTCATTCGTCTGGTGAGAGGTCGGGAAACGGGACAGAAGAGCATGTATGCGTCCCCTTTTATAACCTCGTAACCATAGCGTTTCTATGACGGACGGGGTTTCCGAGTTGCTCCGGGTAGTAATTTGGTTACTTGGTAAGGGTCTGTCTAATTCATATAAATGAACACCCGCGATACCATAAAAGCAATATCAACAACCATGTACTCTATCCAGTGCCTCGCGGTTCTAGAATGGTTTGAACCATCTTGGAACCTCCCTAGGTACCCACAGTAAAGACACCCGCCAGGTGTTAGTTGCGTATCACTGTTCCAGAAACCGTGAAGACTGTCGTCTTTGATATATACATCTCGACTCACTGCATACGAGCAAAACCAGCGCCCAAACAGCCTTAAGAGCCAAGATCTTCTTCAAATCGTGCCTCTATCACGAAATCGTACCTCGATCACGAACACACATAGATCTCAGCGTCCTGGTCACGGCAGCAGCCGGCCGCTTCTGAAGGGGTGTATCTGTGGCATCTAGAGCTACGCAGATGTGACCTTTTTGTTCTCGCATTTTCTCTCAAGGTGCCGATGCCCTCGAGATGTTCGAAAGGCCTTAATTTCTGTGTTAATGTCAAAGATGAGCAATGCCAAGTGTGATGTGCCATGACAGATGGCGGGTGCCTATTTAGTATACCATTCGGACAACTCGATTCGCTCGGACAAGCCAATTTATGTCCAGGTGTGTGTCATCATCTGCTGAAGATTGAATTGTAATCGACACTCCAGAGCTAAGGGCGCAGGCCAACGGACGAGGTCGTGCTCGTATCATCGACTCTGTCGCTCGCCAGTCTCTCGCGCTTATAGCCAGAAATACCCCTACAAAACACAGTGACTTCGCTCAGAGATCACAAGAAGGAAACCCCATAAGAAGAGAACTTCGGGATTGCGACTTGAGCTTCCTTTAATCCAAGGCAAACATGACTCTCATCTGGTTTGTTCGTTCATGGGACAGGCAGCTTGGACGCGAGGCTCTATGCGATGGCCCTCGCCTACCGCAAATTCAAGGGCGGAGCTGGTAGGGCTGGACTTGCTTCATCGAATGCTGCAGGAGCAAATTGTCCTTACGGAACCTTACTCGGAATGGTGCGAGAGAGAGCTGTATATATGCAAGCCATCACAACCCCATATGTTTCTTCGGCGACAAATGTTTCTAGGGTACACCGTATGCTCTCTTGGTCATTCGAAAGCCCATTGTCTCGTCACATCTATATTGTTCCGACATGAAACGTTCGAAAGATTCTTGCCCGCTCACTTCGGACTCGTATATAACGGCGAGCATGAAGGAAGACGAGGATGGCTGCCGTCACGCCTGCTTAGATCGATGCTTCCTCGTCTACACGAACACAAAGAGCTTGTAGACTAGGTACTTTTGGAATCTAAGGAGCGACCACGACATCCCCGATGATTGCTGGGAAGTTTCCCAACGAGTCCGCCAACAAGTCTCGACCATGCGAGCTCGATCCTCCTCCACAATTGTGTGAGTACTTAAAAGCGGACGTGGATCCTGAAGTCTCTCATCGGAGACCCCGCCAATGTATTCTCTAAGCTCTGGTGCGGCATTTTGGAGATAAAGACACTGAGAGGGAAGCCAATATTTCGCAACAGACCTGCATAGCTGTGGGCAAGCTAGGGGGTTTGAGGATGACTGCGTTATTCCTTGACGAGTCTCGGAATAGATGGCAAGCGACGAAAGTGACGGAAAGCGACGTACATAGATATCGCGACTTCATCGGGGACAAGTACAGAGTACGGGATCGGAGCTTTTTGCTGATGGTTGAGGAGATGGAGATCTGCTTCTAGTTAGGACACGAACATTGCGAACGTGCCTTGGGTTGCCCAAAACGAAAACACCACGCAGCCGATGGCAATTTTGTTCTATGCAGTTGGTTGCGCCAGATGGTACTTGCCTAGCCACCCGGGATAGAGGACTTATGGTACGATAGGTAATGAACCCCGAAGACCTAGATTGGGGGTAGGGAAGTCTTGAAGTAGATGCGATCAAGAACAACTAGACGTTATAGATAAATCCGAGTATGGGACTGTGAGAAAAAACAACAGCGACAAATGTTTTGCTCCCATCCGTCAGGGTCTTGGATCCGAGATTGTGCCTGCGTAATAGCATAGTATTGAGTTAAGATGGCATGGTGGAAATGTACACGAATTTTGACCCTCTCTTTACACCATGTATACCTTGTCTACGTCGAATAAGGCGACGGCAGAAGTCAAACACAGCGCTTATCAGCAAGACTTTGGCCAGGACTTCACGTAGTCTCGATCAAAATGTTGGTAAGCCACATCCGTGGATCCATGGAAGAGCAAAGAGGCGATCACAAAGTAACATTACCACTACGACTTTTGCGGCCATAGGCAAAGTCATGAAGATCATAGTCAAGTGCTTTATGCAGTCTCCACAGGCGTCGGAATGCAGAGGGCGCCTGCCTGATTAGTTCGTGGGTTCCCTCGGTTCGACGATTGGAACAGGTGGTCAATGTTGTCAGAGCAGTGCGATTCATGGGGTCCGCTCACTCAGAGTGCGAGGTGTTCGTGGACCAAACAGCGGCCATTCTGTTTTCGACCGGGAAACGATGTACTCATTCATGTGTAGCTAAGTATCTGATCACATATTTCCAAAGAGAGACAGAACAGCCGAGAATAGGGTTGTTTGTCCCTCGTGAAACTCTTCTAAGCCTTTTTTTTTTTTTTTTTTTTTTTTTTTTAAAAAAATGTTTCAATGCCGTGCATCTGCTGAACATACAGAAAATGGCAAAAGATATAAATAAAGACCGACCAACGTGGGACTCGAACCCACAACCTTCAGCTATCAACCCTGAGACCCTGTGAGGGGGCTCTAGGTAGGAGGCTGACGCGCTACCATTGCGCCAGCCGGCCAAGTGAAGCGAATTGACTCGCTGTTGACGTCAGGCGAGCAAAGCCTGCTTATGTAGTCCTGTGGTGGGTAGCTGCGTGGGGTCGTGCGTGCGCGCCGTCACAGCTTGAGCTTGTGGAGCTTGCGTGAGAAGTTTCGAGGCAAAGCTGTTTGCGCTAGAGGCAATATGAACAAGTTCTAGCAGTTTTTCAACTTGGAATTGATACCATTATGGCCCGTGGCCCAAATTGTTTTCCGCGGGAAGGCGATTCGTTTCTGTCTTCCCCGGTGCACCTATTAAACAGATGGCAGACGCTCAGGCAGACAAGGTACTAACTCTACCATACCTTCGCGAATTCGACTTTTCTACTCAGCGCATCCTCATTCATTTCCTCCCTTTTCGACAGGTGGCTCATAAGCTATACAGACAGCAGTGGCATAATCCCCATCATGGCTAATCGTAATCTTGGCCTCCTGCGCCCGCTCGCCCTCCTTCGCACCCTTAATCACAGCCACAGGCGGCCCGCTCCCGTTCGCGTTCGCCTGCCCCTCAACCAGTGTCTTCCTCAAGATGGTAATGTCGTGGAAGGTCAGGCGTCTCTGAATGTGTGCCTTGATCGTGGCCTCTTTTGCGGCGAATCTGCATGAGACGGGCGGGGACCTGTTGTTAGCTCAACGAGCCCTGCTGGACAGGTAGAGGTGGAGGGTACAGAGTGCGATGCGCGTACCTTCCAGCCACGAACGAGGCCTTCTTCCACAAATGCTGTTGCGCCTCCAAGTCTTCGATGCCGTTTTCTTGGGTTTCTTGGGGATTTGGCGGGGTGTTGTTCTCTGATCCGCTTGGAATCAGGTGCAGTTCATCTTTGGTGAATATACGCTCGATAAATCTTGGCCCGCGGGGGGTTGCCAAAATTCGGGCAATGCGGGAGATCTGGCAAATATCATTCCCAACATTGAGGGGAAAGGGAAATGCCCTCGGGCTCATGGTAACCCTGCACTGCACGACACCCGAGTGAGGCAGCAACTCAGGTCGTGAACAGACAGCAGTACATAAAAGACGATTGACAGGTTCGCAAGGTGAGCACGGGACAATCAGCTATTCCTTATCAAGACTAGTGCATTACGATAACAAACTATCGGGCGATAGCGATAGCGATAAGAACGACAGCTACGTCATCCTCTGCGTTTCGCACCCGCTTGCCTGGTCAACCAAAGGGATATTACCGTCTCTCCTACTCATGCGTGACCAAAAGAATGCTATTTACATGCCATCCCACCAATGATCCAGTTGTCATAGCAATTTTGAAAGCAATTTTCGATGCCCACGCCCTTCCGTGGGTCCTTCTTTTCCTCTTAACACCTCGTTTGTACCTGTTCTTGACTCTATCGGTGCTTCTGTGAACAACACCCAGGTCAGAGGTTGCTTGGCTGGTTGGTTATTGAAGAATTTTGAATCTATTGGTCGTCGGCCAAAAGAGGGGCACGCTCCTGGTCGGCCGGAGCGGAGCGGCGGGGCCAGGAGTACTCCTTGCCAGACCAAGCAGGGTAGGCAATGACGAGGGTCGAGACGAAGAGGACGGCCATGATGGTGAAGGCAAAGATCCACTGGAAAGCAATAACCTTGTCGTAGAACTGAGCAACACCGATGGCGGCGGACAAAACGCTGAGAGAGAAGCCCATGGTGTAATCCTGCGACATGTTAGTTGAGTGGATCGAATTGCCTTCTCATGCCAGACTTACCTTGTAGATAGTAATGAAGAAGCCACCGTAGACAAGAATGGACCAAATGAAGATGTTGCCGAAGATGCGGGCAACGAGGTTGTCGGGGTCGTGGACCATGATCGCACCGTTCCAGTAGATGGCAACAAAGGTCCATGCCAAGGGAGCAGACACGACGGGCCAGTGGATGAAACGAGGATATGCGTTGTGGCGGAAGTACAGCGAAGACAGGTTGGCGAAGTTGATGATCAAGATGAGCTCGGCCCAAACGAAGTGGGAGCGCACGAATAGCATGACGAAGGCGAAGTGGAGCAGGTTGTGGAAGATGAAGTGAGAACCGACGCTCGCAGCAGCGTTCACGTAGTCGGTGTTGCTGGAGAAGAGGTGGGCGACGTAGCCGATCTGGAGGATGAAGAGAACAATCCTAGGATAGTCAATACCACGCACCCTCTTGCGATTCTTCGTGCTTACCAGTAGATATCAATAATGGTCGCGTTCAAAGTGAAGGCGGTGCGGTACAGGTAGTTCTGATCCCATATTCTCCTGCGGATCGTGAAGCCATCGTGAGGCTCGTTGGTGACGTAGTACAGGGTGACGACCAGGGCGAGAAGCCAAGACAAGATGGTCAGGACTTTGTATGTCGTGATGGAACCAGCGCTATGAGACTCCTTCTTAGAGAAGGGGTTCACTGGGGGCAGATTAGCAAGCTGTAGCAAGCGAAGGACAAGACGACGACATACATGCGTTGATACGCTCCGAGGCGGTAGGCATCGTGACGCGAGCTCGTAAATCGCAAGGTGGTGAAATAAGTCGGATTTCTTCCCAGCGGTCCTTAATCCACAGTCAGCTTTCAATGAAGCTTTTGGTGGTTGTGCAGCGAGGTCGTGTTGGAAGCAGGAGAGATGGCGTAGGTTGGATGGGCGGCAGGCGGGTAGCATTTAAACGAGCAGGTAAAGAAACATGGATGGTAGCTGGGATGCGAAATCTGCGGGGAAGCAACTCGCCACAGGCACATTAGCGTGTAACGCAGATGCAAGAGACGTACCTCCCCTGGTGCAGGCCGGAAAGGAAGGTAGGTGCTGAGGGCGTGGGCTGCATGTACATCGGCTTCTCTTTCATATCGACGTGCGTGGGCCGTCTGCCTTACAACTCCACGTCCGCGAGAGCCACGCCCCCACGACGATGCTTTCCCATTGCGGGAACTGGCAACTACTGCGTGAGGTGGCCCCCAACAAGAGTACCGCCCTGGCCACATGCTGCTCATGATCCAAGGTTGACCGTGTCAGGAGCATAACCCAATCCTGAGGTGCACGAGAAAAGCTTGGAAAAGGACGGGCAGGGACAGCGAGCAAATGAGATGGGATGGGGCTTGTGTGTGCTTGTTTGGACGCCTCGCTTGGCTGGGTAGGCTATGGGTTGGCTGCTTGCTGACACCTGAGGCCAAGGACCATCCTACTACCGATTGGATACGGTCTGCAGCACGTAAGGCAGGTGTATGGGTGACCTGCTCTGCTCGGTCGGTGGATGGATCTTTTGAGGCCTTGAATCGAGGCTTTCATCGGTGTTGTAGCTGGTATACGTGCCTACGTACAGTACACATGGGCGACGGGCAAGCGCTTTGAATCGGGATCGGCCCTGCGTTTGGCGGTTCAACAACATGATACAAGGAGTCCGCTGGCCGGAGCCAATGCATTGGCGGTCGACTGGCCGATCTAGCCCCAGCTAACCCTGTTTGTTGCTCTTCCCTGTCCGTTTAGCAGCCACACTTTAAGGTCAGTAGTCGCGAAGGTCAAGATGGCGAGCTGTCGTCAGAGCTGACGATGCGTGTATGCCTTCCAGCACTGAACGGTTCCCCAGGCCAGCCACCCGGCCTGCTGCGCAGTAGCTGGTCTCGTCCCGTTCATGTAGACACCCATCACAGTCACTGTACCCGTACCTTGATGGGGTGATACAACAGCCACTCGCACCTTGCCTAGCACTGAAGAGGTGGAACAGCTCCAGGATTCGAAGGCCGTGGCATGGGGGTGCCAAGACGACGAAAGATGGAGCGCAAGCCACAGACAGACCTGCGACACAAGCTAAGAAAAGCAAGAGGCTGCATTGGGCCCTTCCATGTACACTCACTTCCTGATGATTTTCGGTTACGAGTACTGTAGGATGAGACCAAACGGCTCGACCTTGAACAGTGAGGAAATGAGGTGAAGCTGGAGCACACGCCAGGCGTTGCGCAGCAGGTGTGGAGCGCATTGCAGCTGCAGTCCGATGGCTGACAGGGGGCAAGACGCCGCGGAGTGCCATCCGTGATTGGGTCATCCTTGCACAAGTATGACGACTTTCCGCAACCTCGCCAGTGGCTCCCCCTCCATCCCGATCCCCATGCTTCAGGGCCACTTTTTCCCGCTCCAAAACTTCTCCATCGCCTCTCTCCGAGGTGCACTGACATTCGTCCCTGCAACCGCCGAGCCCGTCGTTGTCTCCAGCGTCGCTATTGTTGTCATTGAGAAGCGTTGGAGGCGACACCGTCAGTCTCTGGGCATTGCACCGGACCGTCTTGCTAGCGGACCATCGTGTTCTCCTCGTGGCCGCTCATTCCAATGGACTGGCAAACTACTTCGTCCATCAGCCACCACCTCCTCGCTCCTCACTTCGCAATGCCTCGTTTTCTACACTTTCACAGCTGACAGCAGGCCCAAGGGACACCTGTGTCTCAATTCTTCGGCACACCTTGCTTGGAACCTTGGAGGAAACGGGACCCTTGCTTGCCATCCGCCGACACCATCATCATCACCTCATAGCTTCCTCTCCTGGGCTGACGTCCAGCAATGCTTACCAGACGGCGGGTCTGCCCTGCACCTGTGAGGGTGTCGTTGCCTCTTCCTCCAAACTCGACTTCCGCGAATGCAGCATCGGCGCAACTATCGCATCTGGATAGACTCCAGTCACTGCTGCACACCCGTCGTCCAATTCTCCAATGGAACGGGACGCCGTTCGAGAGGGGGGCGGAAGCTATGGTAGCGCCGCACACCAACACCACCACCACTGAACCCAGCCAACCTAGCTAACTCTACCGACTACCTCACACACCGCTCTCTGATGTTCTTTCTTCCTCAGTCAGAAATTGTCACAAATTGACCATCAGCAGAACTTTGACCGAGCCCCATTTCGCCTGATTTCGGCATGTTACCTATGCTTCTGCTTCTTCCAACGGTCGTGCTTCGCCTCCAGCTGCGGTTTGCAAGAGAAAAGAAACATCCATCGGCCCACTGCACGTCTCATGCCACTCGCTCTGTTCTTGGCAAACCAGCCGGGCTGGTCTCGACCCAGAGCTCGTCCTCCTGCAGCTACCTACCTACGACACGGTGCGCGGCTGGCTTCGAAGCCAACGAAACCGCGTCGCTACACGAGGTACTTCTACCATGTCGATACCTCCCCACGTCACCGCACCTTTTTCTCCGGCTTCTGGGCTAAATTGCGGGGCAACGCCAGCCACGGTCACCTGGCCCATCCTCGACACACCCGACCTTGCCTGCCCCTCACGTCCCGATTGTCATGACAGCATTCGCGATCCAACCGCCCGAGCATTGAGAGACAACTGGCGCTGTAACTACCGACTGCCTGCCGCAAATCACAGCTCACTTTTCTACGTTGGCGAAGGAATCACATCTCGATTTCGGCGCCTCTTGCACTCTTTCCGAGATGTGGCGGTTAAGCGAATGCTCGAATTATTGTAAGGTATCTTGTTTTGGCTCGATGTACGGCTATTTTCTCTATCCCCGGGTCTCTTTTTCCCAAGCGCATGCGCGTTGCAATTCTCCAAAAGTTGATGGGAAGTTTCCCCAGCTATCTCATACCATTTTTGGACCACCTTTGGACCCTCGATCTTGTTTGCACATCCTCGAGTGGGATAATTGCTACCAAAGACATCAGCCCGGGTCTTGAATTTTCTACCTGGCGCCATCTTCTTACCCTGAAATACCTATCTCCTGCATCGTTTAACCTAGCCAAACTCCTTGCTACTCTTCGAGACGATGGTGACCCATCCAGGCTTTGTTGAGAACCCCAACTTGATCTTGATACTAGATCGAAAATACCCGTCTCTCTTGTAAGGCTGTCGTACCTCTTGACTTGCTCGTCTTCTCCTATTCTGGTACCCTTTTCGGCGACGATCGATGAAATCGCCTCGTCGGCAGCCGTCTGCAACCCTCGGTGAGGCTTCGGTCTCCGACCACGCGGCGCCGGTGATTCGCTTCGGGCAATCGGGGCCGCGAACTCTGACGTTTTTGTGTAAGGTATCCTGCCGAAGCCGGCTATGGACTCTGTCTCGCGTTGTTCTGTGTAACGACCTCCGCTTTCTAGCGACCAGTCGTTTGGACGGTGAGGACTCATTTTGCGTCTTATGGGGTTTTGATGGGTCGTTCTTCTTGCGTTGCCCGTAGATTCATCTTCGCCCTGAGAGCCTGCGTTGGCAGCCATCTTTATGCGAGTATGCTGGAACCGCTTTGCCCGAGGCAGGCAATTCATCTCTATTGGAATTTCCGAGCAGATGGAATTGCCAAATCGAACGCGGCCGCGCAACCCAATGGAGGCGACCCCACTAGGTTTTGTATCTTGTGAGTGGTGGTTTGGGCGCGAAGACCATTTCCATTCGTGCCCGACGACGTTCAGTGGCCGGCTGTGCATGCAGCTGCAACTTACAAAGTACGAAATCCGCTGCTTCCCGCTGATTGGTCTTGAAAGTACTACACTTATGGACGTAACACTGTGAAATTCCAATTTCCAATTTTCTGGGTCGCGTCCCATGAGGCAGACTCAAACGGAAGCCTTGCCAATAAAGTCTTCGAAAATGAGCCTCAACAGTGACAATGCCACCCCTAGGCAGTTTGCCTTGTTGGGCTCTGCGGCCTTTTTCTGGGAGGGGATTTCGCCTGACAGCACTTTGTGCTGTCTTCATATGGTAGCTACAGCAGCCAGCTTGAAGTAACAATCGCGGTGCTCTTCATCATTCACCTTTCGATGCCAGGGAATTCGAGAAACCCACGGAAAGCACCATTGATGAATATCAAAACGAGAGCCCGACGAAAGCCGCAGGGGGAATGGGAAAGGTTGAAGCCTATCATCTGTGATCTATACGCAAGCAAAACCCTCGAGGAGGTGAGGGAAATCCTACAGAACGATCACAATATCCAAGCCACGTCCGTAATTCCCCTTTTTACGAGGGGAACTGGAAGCTGATTTTCTTCTCAGAAAGCGACAGCTGGTTTACAGGCTAGAGAAATGGGAAATGAGAAAGTACAACACCGGGGAACCCGAGAGCTCAGCCAGTCCAGCTAGCCAACACAGCGAGTCCAGCCCTGTCGAGATTTACAGCTGCGACGGCGACTGTGCCATAGCCCATTCCATTTCCGACGTGATCCGAGAAGACCAGACGGTTGGCATCCAGGCTGCAGAGGTTCTGCTTGCTGTCTGCGACACAGAAGGTGCATGGAAGGAATTCAAAAAAGCCGAGAACAACGGTTCGATATACTTGACAGCTCTGGCTCGATCTGCCGAGACGGAAAATCAATGCAAAGTCACATTGGACCTACTCGGAAACCAGATCTTCCCATCATCGATAGACCCTGATCTACCCCAGTTGTGCCTTCTGTACGCACTTGTTTGCGACAACTTCAAGTGTGGGTTGGGGGACAAGACACAGACCATCGCCGATGCTGTCTCGGCCTGCGCGGTCGTCATCAACAGCTTCCTACTTCGAGACAAGAATTCGGTCGATTTGGCTCACTATATTTTACTGGACAACTTCATGCAAAACCACGACGAGCTCCTCGATGATATGTGCAAGAGCCAGCTTCAGTTTTATCTCAGCAACGTCGATACATGGGTCTTGACTGGCAGCATGGAAAACACAATGCAATCTAGCAGCTTCTGCGACGATTCCTCATCATCGCTACCTGTACGCGTGCTCCAGCAGTGTCTTGTGTGGTGCTGTCAGCAACTTCACCATGTATCCAATGATTTGGACTACACAATGCGACTCCAAATCAACATCCACCCTGGTGAATACCAAGCGGCCTGGAAAGACGTCATCGAACTCTTCGGCACACTCTGGCGTATACTCAAATACCAATTCATATCCAAAGGCAAGTGGCCAAAGTGGGCGGGCCAGTCTGTCGAGGCCATGAACATTTCTCACGCCGAGACTCTCTCTTACGTCTGCTGGCTTTTGGTTAACCCCAAGAACATCATTGGCAGCAGCGAGGGGGAGCAGGACCTGTTTGTGAGATCAAGAGTGGTGGCCCACGACGTATTCCATTGGTCATCCGAAGCCTTGTGGGTAGCTTTCCGGGAGGCCTTCGAGAGATTCAACAGACTCACTGTTGCAGATGGCAAAGAGAACAGAGACTTTGGCGCCGCTGCCATCGAGCAGTTTAGAGCCTTCGTTAGAATCACGCTTCATGGGTCTGATGATTCCAACGCGGCCCTTACGGCAGACATGGCTGGGCTTTGGTGGGGAGGTTGCGGTGCCGGATGATGCCTGGGCAATCGATGCTTTTGTCGATGCCTCTGTCGTGGTACATGCTGGTGCGGTGCTTTCTTGCTGGTTCGCCTTCGTTGAAAGCGTGAAGCTGGCATTACTTTCTTTTTGTATAGTCTTTCGTTATCGTTCTCTCGTTACTACTTAGTTCTGACGACATTCAATATCAGGACGTTTTCGTAGCAATGTCCCTACTTGACGTATTCTTTTCTACTGGTGAAAGCGAAGCATGCGCAACATCATGTGCGACCATCAAAGCCCAAGCCAACCAATGGCTTGCTATGGCCACGTTCGGATTAGGAGATCACATCCTCTTTCATTCCCCTTCATCTTGATCGTATAACACTGCGATACTTCTGGGCCAATGAGAGATGCCGACAGGCACTTGCATCAGCGAGGAAGCCATTCAGAGTGCCAGCATTATCGTCCTCGAAACAAGAATGATGAACTATGAAAGCGTCTTGCCACATGCGAAAACCGATCACAATTGGCCGGCCTCTGAACCACTCCTGCTTTCATTTTGATAATTGAACAAGTTGGGCGAGGGTCCCCTATAGAAACTTCAGCCAGCTACTCCAGCCTATATATGAGGTATAAACATTTCGGCGTAGCAATCTCCTCCGAGAGAATAATCGAAACCGAACTCGACCCACGGCCAATGTCTCTTTAGCATCGGCCTACAAACCGACCTGTCTTGAAGTTGAATGTTGGAAGACACGACCCCGACAGCGTCCCATTATTTCAGAAGCTGCAATAACGGTTGGAATATGTGAATAAATACCGCACGAGAAGAAAGGAAGAGCGGCAAGGTAGGACGACGAGCTAGGGTTGGAAGGGAGAGACTGTGGGCTAAGCAGTAGTAGCACTCGCCATCATGGGATTCATCGACCCTTCGGGGAAGCCATCCATCAAAATGACAACACGTGCACAATCTTGTTGTCCTCAAGAAAGACCTGAGTCATACAAGCCCTAGTCTAATATGGTTTTTCGCAACAAACCCGCTCAGTCCGTTGATGGTCTCTTGCGAAGACATTCTGTTTGATGACGCATTTGAACGCATGCACGGAAATGGGGGCGTAACCCCTTCGATGTGACCTGTATAAAAGCTTCAATGATGCCAGAGGCTTGGGATCTGTCCAATCTTCTCCGTGACAGAAAATCTGTAATCGTGGAATATGTGTCTGGCCACTTGTTGTGAACTTCAGAGTAATTGGACTTTACGGATGTCTCTTGCACATACTCTGCCACTCTGCATTATCTCTTTCTTATTATTCCGTGCGAATGAAAAGGCACAGTACACAGCTCCATGGCATCTCGATGCGATTTCAATAGATCCAGAGATTCAGCTCTCCTGCAAGCAGGCCATGATGGCAAAGAAAGAAGAAGAGATCCGACATATTGTTCGGGGTTAGAGATATCAAATGTCTTTCTTGACGCTCTTAGATACGTCTAAATTATATCTGATTACTTCATTACAGAACAGACAGCTGCAGTACTCAATTGCTATCGATGAGGTACTTACGACTGAATGACATCTGTGATATATGATGGATAACATCCTTTTTCGGCTCTCCGACTGAGGTACCCAGCTATTCGGACATCATATGGAGAAGCTAAGCTAGGATTTAGTCCTGTGCCATGAAACTAACATCTTTACATGGATATTGAACTGCTGCTTCAAGATCGAACAGCGATGAAACCACGACAGGATCATCTGCTCAAGGCGCCCATGGTCATAGAGATGTTGCACTTAATACATCAAGGTGAACCGTATAGCCAGATCAGTACCGTAGCCTCAGCTTAACCAATTGGCCAAGTGTCGAGCGGGAGACGTATAATAAAACGGGATGTTGAATAAACTTGCAAGGATGGCAATCGAGAGTGCGTCATAAAACGTGGGACTAACGGGTCGGTCGAACCAAACCAGGTTGTCGCAAGTGACTTGCCCCTATGATGGAAAACCCAAGAAGAGCTAGGCTTGAGGTTCGGAAAGCATTTGGCCGTCCGTGAAGAAAATACAGGCCCACCACCAACTTAAAAACGTGTGAGTTCACACATTCAGGAGACTCAAGTTCGGCAAATGGAAGCGTCAGCAAGTAGTTACCTGCGCTCTATATCTACTTGATCTTCAAAGAACGCATCATTTGACAGAATGACAAAGAATTATCCACTTCTGTCCGTTCTTGTCGACTATGGTTATGGGCGACCTTTACAGACCGGAGATTGATGATGTCTGGCGGCTGACACTTGCGACCGAACGATGCCATAAACTCCGCGATACCATGGTCGCGTCCATCATCGTCTCAAAAATATATGTGAATCAGTCAGAAAACCTTACACAGATAGAGGTCAAACCCAAACAAGAGAGCACCTAAGAACTGTGTTTAATGGACAGAGTGCGGACAGTGAACTCTGCATTGGAGGTAGCTGGCAGCCTCCATCATCGAGGATATGCTCGAACAGGATCATTGCCACCCGATCATCAGGACCCCGGATACTGGCTCACTACTTAGGCAAAAGGAGAACGAGACAAGCCATCATTAGTTGCTCCGAGAAGCTGAAAAGCTTTACTAAGTGCCCTGTCATGCATGCATGCGCAAGCGTCTCTCGAGACATCGTTGACGGGTCCAAAGGCTGCTACGCTGAGATAAATATAGGTCCGATGACAAATCCTAGGGGAACTATATCTTCAGAATGCGAATTCTTCCACTACACGGCTGATTGACCACGGCTGGAATAGTGTTGCAGGCATTGACACTCTTGGACGAGTGCCTCATAGAAGGGTCATGTGTCGCGTGATGCACAACCGCCGTTGGATTGAATGTATTTTGGTCTTGTCGAGATGAATGATCTCATCCAACGAGTGCATAAGAGAAGTAGAGGTATAGAGAACGGCTCGTTTTTTACTCCAAATCAGCCCAATATCGGAAGTCTGGCGTCAAATCACCATCTTTAACTGAATATTGCCGGCATGGGACAGGTCCATTGGGTCTGTTCTCATTGACTGCACGACGCCGATCACAATTTATATCGTCTCAGGGTGCTGATAGAGAATTTCCAAGATGTTTGAAGCGGGTTCTTCTCTAGTCCTGCGACCCTGGTGGCAAAGGGACTGGGTCTGCAGAGGTCTCATGACATCAAAACTGGCATTGATCTAGAATATATAAATCGCAGCCTGAACTCAGGTATACAGATTTGAAGAACGACAGTTCGCGGTATATCGAGAAGTTTGGCATTTGCAAATAAATCGGTACATACCACCAGGATTCCTCCGATGTGAGAGCAATAGATTGCACTCTTCACAACACATACTAGTCAAATGGCGATAATAAACCACAGTACGAGAATACCCTCACGACAAAGAAGAAGAGGGACGTTTCGATCGCTTGGCAGTGACGGTAGACATCGAGATGAAGTCCAGAGCAACTACGCGTTGCAACAACGCAAAGACTCTCATGAAAGCGAGGCGTGTATGAGCCAGATGTCATTGGTAGTTTCCTCGCAAGTGAGATACGCCTTATGACGGAATCGGACTCAGGGGCAATGTAAGACTTGGGGTTACTATAGTCTGTCGGTCTTAGAAGAGGCAACTTTGGTAATGATATTGGAGCTTCGTGGAGATGGATTCGGTTATGCGTGTGGTTTCTACTTTACCTACTACAATGGAATGACCATGCAACATACTGTTCTGTGCCTCCAAAAATCTCGCCTGACACTAGTATCTCATGTGATGTTACTGTTGCTGTCCACTATTGCTTGTCCGAATAAACAAACTTTACAGAACAACAGACGATGCGAGAGACTTTTGTGAGAGACCGGTGAGTCCGATGTCAGACCATTGCGGGGGTCGGATGGTGTGTTCAGAGAAGGAGCGCGATATCTCCACTCGAGCTGGCTCGGGTTCCAAGGGCAGGAGAATATTCGAATCGTGGTCTAGTTCAGCAAACGACCTCTGAATCAAGCCACTTTATACTTGAGCCAACAATCGTCATCGACCCGCACCTAATACGACCCGCGCGTGTATAAATCAGCACGCTCAGCTTCAAAGTAGATAGACAGCCAGCGATATTGAAGAATTGGACTACGGCGAACGACAGAATGATCGCGAGACACTGGTCAAGGTTCATGAAGCTCACCCTATTTGACTTCTGCTTGAAGCATACCGCATTCACCATCTCCAACTCACGCAGCTGAATACGTGGGAACTAACATATAGAATTGAAGGAGAGAGAGAAGTTTTCAGTGCAACTCCAGTTCGATGGCCGCGGAGTTAGCCGAATTGTGGTTATTGTAAGGCAAACTGCTCACATATTCAACTGGAGACCCGAGCCTTTGATGGTTATCATTTGTCTTGTCACACCAAAAGATGACCCCAATCATGCTTTTATAGCCTGATACATGCTACTTGACGGTGGTTACCAAAGGTTATCTTATGGCCAAAAGGATTCCAAACCTCAAGTCTCGCTCAATTAACATGCCCTTTACAGGTCAGGGGCGCCGTCTACATCTATCAGCGCCCTCTATATCGCTTCAAGACTCTATCGACATCAAATCTCGCTCGAATTTTCACTCCTTCGCAACCCCCCACATCGTCTCCAAGTCTTCCTTCTCACCACTGTGATACACCATATCATAAAACACACCCTTTCGTTTATACAATTCTGACGGGCGTCCCGCTTCCACAACCCTGCCGGCGCCCATAACAACAACAGTATCATAATCCGCAATCGTCCGAAGCCTGTGTGCAATCGTGACCAGCGTCCGGTCGCTGTCCACCTCCCTCCTCAGCACCGCCTGGATCCCGCGGTCCGTCTCGTAGTCCATGCTCGCGGTCGCCTCGTCGAGCAACATCAGCCTGCTGCCCCTCACCAGCGCACGGCACAGCGACAGGACCTGTCTCTGGCCGTGGGAAAAGTTCTCGCCCTTGGCGTTGACGGTCGTTGACAGCGCGAGGCCGGGCGCCTCGGTCGAGGGATCGGCGTCTGCGTCGTCCGAGTCGGAGTGGTACTGGAACGAGGCGATGCCTTGGCACGACTCGAGGGCTCTCTCGAGGGTCGGGGGCGCAATTGTGCCGGTGGGATCTAGGTTGGAGCGCAGAGTGCCGTTGAAGAGGACTGCTTCCTGGGGGATGATGGTGAGGGCTTCGCGGAGGCGACGGCGGGGGATCTTGGTGATATCGATTCCGTCGTAGAGGATCTGGCCTGAGACGATGTGGGTGAAGCGCAGTAGAGAGAGAACAAGCTGCAATGCGGTGTTAGTTGGGTCTCATCATACACAATGATCGTTGATACGTACTGTGGACTTGCCGCTGCCGGTGCGGCCGATGATGGCGACTCTCTCTCCAGCCTTGAACTTGAGGTTGACATCTGTTAGGATGTTGGGCCCGTTCTCGTCGTATCGGATGGTGACGTTGCGGAACTCGATCTCGCCTGTCGCAGGCCAGTCCTTCGGGATGGCATGCGCCGGGTCGTCGGTGTACTCGCCCTCCTCTGGGTACGACTCATCCGACTTTTCCTCGGGCTCGAGACCGGCGTACTCTTTGATGCGCCCAAACTGCTTGTGGTCAGTATCATACTTGATTTCAAATCGGGGCAACTCACGCTCTGCAGCTCGATCTCGAGGTCGTTCATGCTGCGAACCAACATCAAAATAGTCTGGCTCAATCCCGTGGCATTAGTGAGCGAGAAGCCCACGAGTCCGGCAGCGATGATACCGGCCTTGGACACGGCAATGATACCAGCGCTCAATCCCACCAAAGCCGTGACTACGTCCACACGCATGGCTACCCATCGGTTGCAGTTGAAGTTGGCCTCTGCCGCGCGGGACCACACGCGAAGCTTATCGGCCAGGTTGTTGCCGAACTGCTCAGACATGCCACTCCTGGCGCGGATGACCGCCAACCCAGCCAAAGTGTCCGCGAACTGCGTGAAGATAGGGGACTGTGCCGACGCCACGAGACGCTTGATCGTTACCGCGGTGCGTGTGTACAGCTCGCCGATGATGATACCGAGGAAGCAGGTCACTGCGGCGGGAACCATGAAAACCGGCAAAATGGAGCTGATTGCGAAAATTCGAATGATCAATGCCATGCTACTCTCCAAGAACGCGCGGAGCTGCGGGCTGACGGTCAAGTCCAAAGACGACATGTCGCTCGAGAAACGGTTGATGATGCGGCCGACGGGAGTCTTCTTGTACCATGAGAGCGACACGCGCATGACGGCGCGGATGAAGTCGTTGTGGAGCTTGCGGGCAGCGTGCCAGGCGCCGTTTTCAAAGACGAGAAAGACGCCAGCGTAGATGACGGATTCGGCCACGGTGATGGCGGCGTAGATGCCAAGGTAGAAGGCGATGTCGACGGCGACCTGGCTGCTGTAGGCCTCGACCCAGACAGAGAGCCAGAGGGAGCCAGCCATGACTGCGACCTGCGAGAGGAGCATCATAATCAGGCAGAACATGGCGTACCACGGCCCACCAAAGTAAACCATGTACTTGAAGACTGTACCATTGTCAGCTCGTTCATCAAGGGAAAAGGGTATTACTCACACATAAGACGTCCACTCCTTCCGCCGGTCTTCATCTCCTGAGCCACCGCGTCCTTGGTTCCCTTATCATCAGCGACCTTGTTATTGTCGTTGATGGGATCCGTCTGTGTCTCGACTTCGGTATCTGAAGAGTCAGAGTTGTCCGCCTCGCCCTCGATGTCCTTAGCAACGGCAACGGGTTGCCTGACGACGCCGATGTTCTGTTCAATGTTCTTCATCTCCCCGTCTTCGAGGGTGATGGCGATGTCAGCCTGCGCAGCAACCCAGGGTTGCTGGGCCACGAGCACAACAGTACGTCCCTTGAGAAGGTCAGAGCAGAAGCAACGCTCCCAGAGCAAAGCAGACGTCTTGGCGTCCAGTGCTGAAAATACGTCATCGAGAAGAAGCAGCGGTGCCTTCGAGTAGAGGGCCCTAGCCAGAGCGACGCGGGCCTTTTGGCCTCCCGACAGTGATGATCCGTTCTCGCCGACTACGGTCTGTTCACCGTGCTCCATCTCCCGCAGGTCTACCGGCAAGCAGCAGGCGTTGATAACGTTATCGTAGCGAACCTTCTCATAAGCGCTGTTAAAGAGAATGTTCTCCTTGATAGTGTCATTCTGCAACCATGAAGTCTGAGACGCGAACGCAACATCCTTAGGCCGCGTGATCGAACCGCTCTCCTTGACGGTCTCTCCCAGGATTGCCAGAAGGAGGGTCGTCTTGCCACTTCCGCTGACACCCGATACGACATTGAGACCGCCTTCTACAAAGTCGATGGAGAGATCCTTGAGCAAAAAGCTCGCAGTCTTGTGTCTTCTGAATGTCGCACCCTGAATCTGAAGCGTTCCCTCGGGGTACTTCTCCAAAGGAGTAGCAGTATCGAAGTACTTGTCAAGGCGGCCGATAGCAATCATAGCGTTAGTAATGTTCCTCGACATGAAGCCCATCTGCGTGATGTTGCGACGAATGGTCTTGACGAGATAGGTAGTAGTAAATGCAGTGGCCGCCGTCAGGGGCTGTCCAAGCACTCCGACGTAGAGCGTAAACATCGAGATCATGGCGATGTACGGCATCAAGGCTGTGATCTGGTTGAGGGTAACGTAAATGAGCGAGACGCGCCACAGATCACGCTGCTCGTTCGCACGCGTATCCTCGATGGTCTTGATGATGGCATCTTCCCAAGCGAAATACTTGACCGCGCGGATCGACGCTAGATATTCCGATACCAGGGAAATACGGGAATCCTGGGCTCTTCTGGCTTTCCTGGTGGCCAAAGCCATCAATCGTGCGACCAAAACCGTCATGGGGGCGGCGAAGAGTAAGATAGCCATGCCGACAAGAGCAGGCCAGCCCAACATCTGGTACAGTCCAACAAAGCCGATCACGGTTCCGGTGGAGACACCCATAGAAACCATGATGATATCTCGCGCTCCAAAGATAGCTTGTACATCGGCGGCCATCAAATTAGCCAAGCGGCCAGCCGGAGTCGACCGTCGAGTTTCGCCTCCAGCCTTCTTCTTTTCAGCCTCCCCCTTGGCAGCAAAGATGTCGTCCTCCAGTTCCATGGACGTAATTGCGCGGTGATAGAGTTCCTGTGTAAGTGCAGACCTCAGGCGCACCACCAGACGAGTCGACGTGAAGACGTACTGCTGGAACAAAACGGACCGCGACAGGGGTCCGGAAAACATGAGGAAGAGCCAGACCCACGGACGGATGATCGAGCCTTGAGGGTCGGCAAGGTAGGAGAGAAGCTGGTACAAAGCGTAAGGAGCGATCAGTTCGGCAGCGTACGCAGTGCTGATGTAGCCAGACATGAGCGCAACTTCGGTCTTGAGAAGGAAGAAAAGCGTCCAAATGGTCGTCTTGCCCCTGAGGCGAGCTTTCTTGATCTTGTCGAGCAGCAAAAGCGGCTCGTCGTACCACGGCAGCCGAGGAAGGTCGTCCACGGTGATTTCTGTGCGCGCACCCTTCCATACCAAGGGGGTAAGCCATTCGAAGGTCATGTAATAGTTGGCCCAACTACAAGTCTCCTCCGGCGCGGGTTCGTTGGTCTCGTAGCCCTCGGGGACGTCGTACTTGAGCGCGGGAGGTACCCACTCTCTAGGAGTAGTGATTGCGATGAGAACAGCAACCGCCAAACTTGCGAGGCCACCTCTTACCGGTGTCGCGATCGCACATGTGCTCGTGGCTTCGATGCAGGGGAGTGCCGACGATGCAGCTAGAATGAGCAGCTCAGTAGATAGAACAAAGTTGACTTGATGCAAGGCAATATGCCGCCAGTGCAAGTCGTTGATGAGCCTGAGAAGGCCGAGTGAAAAGGCGTAGCCAACAGCGACGACGTTCAGCCATGGTGTCTGGCCTCGAGCGCCAGCGAGGGCGAGGAAAGCAAGCGCTGAGCCGCGAGACACTTGAGCGCATAGCTCCCAAGGCCATTTGATGGCAGCGGCACGGTACTCGGGTGATGATGGCTTGGAGCGGCGGTGGAAGAGGCGAGTGGCGGTCCAGAGTACGGAGATGGCGACGATGAAGACTTGAGGATAGCCTGATTCCGCAAACTGTGATACATCATCGATCCAGGCTAGTTCCTCGTGTCTGTGAGGCTGTCAGCACCTGGAACTCGTTTTCATTCAACTCGAGGCAGTAGGAGCTCCCGCGCAACTGCGGATAAAGTATGGGCTTGGCTGGCAAAAGTCTAAAAAAGCCCCAGCATGCAGTTGCGCAACGGCGGGTCGCAACGATCTGCAGGAACGGAGCTGAGGTTGAACCACTCCGGCGGCCATGATATGCCGTCTCACGTACCTTTGAACGGTGGCCAAGAAGGATTGCGACTGGGACCGGGCCGTGGCTGCGAGCGTCAGGGCCCGCTCCATAAAGAAGTCCATGACGGCGGACGTTGAGGTCTGCGATGCGCCGCACGGGAAGGGACCCAAGATGACGTGGGTGTCAGCTCGCTCCCGTCTCGTCGGTTCGCGTCTGCAGTTGGGTGGGTTCGAATGAGTGAGGCTTTCACGAGGGGCACGTCATTGACGATAAGAGAGAGGAAACTGCTGCTGACAGTAGCGTCAAAGGATCCTCGTTTGTTTATCCGACGTATATAAACGAAGGATGATGGGAAACAATACTAGCAAGTGTAAGGAAGGAAAGAAAGAGGAATGCTTCAATTTACCCCGGAAAAAAAGATATGTCGAGCCCACCGGTGAGTACCTGCTTCAGAGTATGCGCAGTACTTGGTATGTATTCGTAAGAGCGATTAGATACGGCAGAGGGAACGCGGATGGGACCAGACCAGACCAGGGACATGGGACATGGGACATGGGACATGGGGGGGATAGATGGCATTTGGGGGGGCACCGCCGAACAAAGTGGATCGAGAGCGCACGAATGGCATCGACAGGCCCAATTGAACCCCCGGTAAGACAGGCAGATGCAGCGCTGAAGATGGGTGAGGGCTGCATTCGTCTGGACGGGTTCTGGTGCCGGGGAGGGGCCGATTTGGCTATGGGTGGATGGTGAGTGGTTGATGAGCCGGGATGACAGAATGATGCGAGCGAGGCATCCAGATGTTGCAATTGCACTTGGCCCTTCTACCCAGCATTCTCCCTCTGTGTCTGTCTCTCAACATCCATACCTACCTAAGCGCGGGTGAATTTGGCCGTCTCGGGACCGCTGCGGGTTTAGGTAGGCCTTTAGAACAGACGCCAGCGCACAATGTCGGAGCGGCTTCGGATGCCGGTGAAGAGGTCGGGTGTTTGCAGCCAAACCGCGCTAGCTGGGTTGCTTTCGCTGGGCTTGCGCTGGAATTCCAGGGGACAGCCCAGCTGCTGGCCCGATACCGATAGCAAAAACTTGGACATGCCTCGAAACGGAACGCCGTCCTCTGTTTGATCATGGAAGGCGGTGATTCATCATGGCTGGTTACTTTGTGTCTGCATTCTTCTACTGCTATTTCAGCTACAGAAGCGAGTATGATAATACTAGAGTCTCAGAGGGCATCTTGAAGAAAAGCATCGTCAACAGAACCATCGAAGCATCAGTGAAATAGATGACAGCATCAGCGAACCAACCCGCCAGCGAACAAAAGCAGCCAAGACCCTGAAACGCAACGTGATCCCCTGTAGCGTCTGCCACGCTCCCCTCTAGCTCCCGCGCCGGGCTCTCACCGAAACCACCACGGGGCGCTCCCCATTGGTTCCATCAAAAGCTTGATCTGCTGGCCAGGCTCGCTCTCACTGTGAGAGGAACCTGTTAGAGGGCGCCCAGCTCACCCGCTGCCACCTGCCACCGACGCCCAGCACACCGCGCGCCGGCATCATGCCTCACCGTCCCTCGCACCTCGCACCTCGCAACATGCGGTGAAACAGAAACAACAACACATCAACGCAGACTCGCAAACTCGCAGACCCAGATCCCTCCGACACCGCGCGCCGCTTAGAAATGCAAATCCAACAATCAGACAAACCGGCCATCTTTTGTCGTGTTTGATATACACCCAGCGAGAAACCGGCTCACAGAAGCATCGGCCCATTCGACTCGTTCGAACGCTGATCTCGAACACCGGGCCACGTCAACCTGTCGTCCTTCTCTGCGTGTCGCTGTCGTGTCGCCTCCCGTCGTCTCTGCTCGTGTCCTCGGCAGGGACGCAGTATCCCCGAACTTGAGATGATACCCTGTCCGCCACAAAAGCCATCCCGCCTCCCCGGCACCCCAACGCCGTGCATTCACCCCACAACGGGTCGTGCAGCACTGCATCCAGGCAGCGATGTGCTACAATAGGCAGGTACTGTCTGCCAAGGTCTCCCATTGGATTGTGGTCGCCGGCATGAGTCAACATCATCGAGTCTCGATAATCTTGAGGATGACTCAAAAGGTCCCTGATCATTCTCAACAAGAAATATTGCCCTCATGGAAGCCCTGCCAGGAGACTTTTGCAAAAAGACCTCGTGGCTTGCAGGAGATTTGAGTACACTACCTGCGCCGGAGCTAGTGCGTCAAAGATCGGGGTTCGGGTTGAGGACGGCATTCCTTACCGAACGAGCAACTCAAAGACTCGGCTCTTTCGTGCCTATCGCCCCGACACCTCTGTTTAGACCTGCGTTTTGCTGATAGCATAGGTTGAGCACAGCCTGGGAGGCAATGCAAAAGTCGCAGGTATTTCAACCAGCGGGTTTCCAAGCTGTTCGCCCCTATGCTCCGACAGCATTTGCCGGAAACCGTTCAGTGTCGCAAGCCAAGACGGCCACTTCCCGGCTCGGCCCCACGGTCATTAAGCCGGAGGGGGCCGGCTCCGGGCGGCTGAGCGCCGGGCTTTCCAGTCAGCGTGCTTAACCTCATCACAATACTTGATCTTATTAATTCTCTGATTAGTGAAAATGCTTCCTCTTCCAAACTGCAATGATGTTAGGAGGCCAGTATGCCTTCAGACTGCTACGGGGCAGGTAGTAAATGTCAGAAGGCACCTCGGCCCCGGATCAGACAAGCGGTCTGAGTGAGCTCAGTCGTTGAAGTCCAGCACTCGAATACCAAGGATGGTCTCTTTCTGTCCTGTCTATTCTTATTCAAATACTTCGCGATGAAAGAAGTGCTGTGATGATGGGCACATGTGTCTCATACCCAGATAGTGTACCGACTAGACAGAAAATGTCTGCAGCCAGCGCCTTTCTCAGCTGCAGAAAGCAATTCGACGAATGGGCTCCATCTGCGTCTGCCACCCCGGAGACAAGGTCATGGTTTTCTTCCTTCAGAGGGTTCAGGACGTCCATCAAATGAGGCACAGAGTTCCTGCCTAATCGCCACAAGCAGTCGCGGCTTATGAAGCTTTTGAACACCAATTTCACTGACATATGATGATTTGGGACCAAGTCTTCTTATGGTACCATTTAGGCAACTTCACAATTCTTGAATACCGGGTACAAGATAAACTTGTTCATACCGAGCAGACGGATAACCCGCAGAATGTAATCTCTTGTACACGGATGCCTGACTTACGGAGCCAATTTCATGCATAAGCTTCTGAAGCTACGTAATATAGCGCCGTCCCATTCGCCCCCAGGCTGCTCTTCCACAGGTCTCCTCTTTGCCTTCTTGCGTTTCCGTTGTTGTATGAGTATTCTAGACAATATCGAACAAACTAGAGAACGAGATAGATGAGAGCTGGGTGTCGTTCCATAAACAACGATAACGTTCCTTACCGACAAGTTTCGTCATTGGAACCAAGGACTCCGTCATGCACAGGAATGAAGTTGAACACCCGATGATGAGCATGATTGGTGTGCTATCTTCAGGTCCGGTGCCCACCTTGCTAATATAGCAACTTCACCCCTGTTTAATGAGACATAACTTAAGACACAGCGAGCTTGGATTCGCGATGCGTTCATTGGCAGGGGCAGATTGAGAGTCATCATCTCGTGGCCCAAGGATGTGCTAAGCGGAAGCACGCTATCCACGTTAATTTGAGATGCAGAATCGTGAGAGGCACTGCGATCTGCAGGGCCGCCTTCGTTCTCGTGCTTCATGTGTGTATTCTAAGTAGAATACTCAGGAAGCAGAAACTTATTGGGACTCAGTGATGACGGTTGTTGAGGAACATGATCCAACACGCTTGCGGGTGCTATCGCGAACGATCATCTCAGTGTTTAACATAAAGTCATAGCAATAAAAGCAAGCTAAGCATCTTTAGGCGAGGAATATTAATCGCTAGCTGGGAGTCACTCTTATAGAAGTATAGTGACTATGATTTGGTGGGAAAAACAAATTGTCAAAGAAACCTACATTGAATAATTTTGATAGTCAAGATTGTGGCATTCTCTGTGTATGTCCTCTTATAAAATTTCAAATACGCAACAGAGGTTGAAGACTGGCAGTCCCACGTGCTGTTGGCTACCCTCGTCCATGACATTGCCTGGCACGAGATGCGCACACACGGCGCATGCTGGCTGAATACGATCTGAATTGAACGAAACAAGTAAGACAATGCAATTGCATTTGTCGTGGTCGTGGTCGTGGTCGAAGCTGTCCCGTCAGACAACTTATTTATATTAACGCTCGTCATGGGTTAAGCTGTTATAGATTGCGCAAATAACATCCATTTCCTTCCGCCGATACCATCCGAATATCATCATTCGTCTCCCTGATCCTTATAGAACAGAAGCTTGTTAATTAGATGCATTGAAGCAGTATCCCAGAGCAGCTGCCGAAATGCCAAGCGGGATAGCACCACTGCATGGACATATAAAGACACGCGCAACCAACGTTGTGATGTAGTTTACAGAAGCAGAGAAATGATAATTTTGCACCCGGTTTTGAGGCAGCAGCAGAAGCCAGAAGTTCTCTAGAAAGGCCGTCTCTTCAAGGCAAAAGTGGACATTCATTTATCTATTTCCGTGGCCTGCCGCCGCTAACTTATCACAAAGACATTACTTTCGCAACAGCAGAGTTGGAGACTGACAGGAAAGCTATAATTCTACCCTTACTATAGAGATCATTAGCCAAAGGCTACGTGGGCGCTTGAAACTAAGGACGTAATCTTGTCGTATCAATCGCAAATCCAAATGGTCAGAGGAGCACATTGCTCGTCATAGTTTACTCTTATCCTCTGGAGCCTTATATACCAATATCCCCCAGTGTGAAAGGCCACGTCGGCACCTGAAAAGGGTGGGCAAGAAGAAATATTGGTAAACTTGCATAAGAGCGTGTCTCCGCCGGTGTCTGCCTCCAGCAGTATGAATCCGAGCATGGGCACCTACACCTAGTCTCAACACTTCGTGATGTGTGATCCGAACATTGATCGCAGGTACATGAAAATTGTTACCCCCCACTACACCAATATACTTGCAACTGAATACACTGACGAGAAGCGGAATGACGGACTCTATTGACGCAGAGCAAGCTAAGCCATTCTATTCTTCAGTCCCTAATACTGACACTCCTTCTCAACTTTCAGGAAAAAGCCCGTCAACATTAGCAAACATGCAAGCCACAGCGAGCATTGTGAAGAAGACTTATCTTCAAAGATAACTTGCCCCATTTATATTTCCTATTATAAGGCACAAAAAACATATCATAACACATCTAGGCGATCATGAAGTGAAGCTGTGCGCAGGGTATAAAGGCTTAACGATACGCAGTACCAAATGTTCAGAATCCAATTCCTGATACCAACGGCAACAAGGAATTCGTAGTCGTTTTCATCTGCAGCTGCGGGAGATGTGCATCTCAAAGGAGAGAACCTTTGTTGACACCTGTTCTTGCTTCCCGCTCTAATCTTCTCAAAGGGCTTTGCTTCCTTAAACACATTCCTGGGGCGTATTCGTTGCAAATGCGCGGATGGAAAGCGAGATGACGGACTTCACCGCTGTGTGTTTCAAGCCCCCATTCCTGTTAAGTATCTCACCCATCTATTTGCAATGGCATAGCACATGTAATGCAGAGCCATGACCGCCGGCCCCCATTGGGTGTGCGCCCGCCCTTGTCAACTTCAAGACCAGGCAAAGACACCTTTTTATACCTCTTGCTGCTTAGTATACCTGCCCTCGCCCAGTTTCACAGAAGAATCAATAATGACATCCTCCTGACGCTCTTAATCTGCGAATGATCTGCCTAAAGAGCAGGAACACAAGATATATTAAAGAACACCACATATCAGATTACAAAAAAACCAGCGAGCAATGTTGCCGGACTCCAGTTGAACGCTTAGGCAGACGCGTCTCATGACAGAGGTATAGTTTCTGCTGGAAGTATTATGAGGGGACCCTTTGATGCCCACATGAGATTGTCAGAACGATGAGGCCTACCCCTTCACCCGTCATGTCTGCTGTCTTGACCGTATTCACGCCCATCTTAGTATGACTGTTCACCCGCCGCCACTCTCAACTCCCCCTTCTCAACTACAATATATCCCATCAACTAGTCTAAAGGTCATCAAGCGTACACACACAGGAGCTAGCTTTACACAGCCAAGATCTCGCAAGGCTATTCTCGTCGACCTCACATCACAAACAAGCCTTCATTAAATACCCTCTCAATCTCTTACCACTCTCCATTGCGAAAACACACCTGCTGTTGCACAGGCAGCTTCACCACTCAGTTGGACCATGACATCATTTTGAAGTTTTGATTGTTCCGTAGAGACTGGACAAGCTGATTATATACTCGCAACCATTCAATCCCTCCTTTTGCCCTGTTGTTTGATCCTGTCATCATATATACTGTAAGTCAATAGTCTAACCCGCCCGGTCAAAAAAGGCCAGGGACAAAGTTGATCATTTCCGGTAAAACGCCTGTCCCCGTGGACATTCCCCAAAACGTGACGCCCCGGGCAATGCATTAATAAGCGCCGTCAATCCGTTTTCGTGCCGTAAACACATTAAAGCACTTTACGTTCAATCACTGGCACGATGGCTTAGTCCGCCTTGATCGCTCTGGAAAAGAGGTCAGCTTGAGTGTGCAGAGAGTCGCGAATCGAAGAGTGCTTACCCGTAAATCCTCCTCACAAAGGCATATGCGCTCAGGAAACCAACGGTTCCCGTCAAGAGACCATACACGCAGCAAGCCATGAAGCTGTAGCTGAAGAACAGCATGCTGCTGACGAAGCCGGTGATGTGCAGCTTGAAGAAGTAGTACCACACGCAGTACAGAAACACCCAGACTGCGCTACCACCACCGACCATGAACGACTGCCACCACCAGTTGTAGTTCTCAGAGCAGAGCTGGATGTAGATGGTGACTACAGTCACCTCAGCAATCGTCAGGATGAGGATGACCGAAACCACCGCCAGGAATCCAAACACATAGTAGTAGCCGCTCTTGTCCTGCCACACGGATTGGAAGACGAAGAGCAGCTCGATGAAGATGACTGCGAAGGGAATGAGGCCAGCCAGAAGGATCGACTGCCAAGACTTGATGTACCAAGCTTGCAGCGGGACCTGGCGGGGAATGGTGGCTGTCTTGGTCGGGTGTTCCCAGGTTCCACCGCGAACGAAACCGAACCAAGAACCAGCGTAGACCAGGGGAACCTGGATACACAACCAGAGGAAGATGATCGCCACGAGGGTGCCGAAGGGGATGGCCGTGCTAGAGGCCTGCGCCCAGACGAACAAGTTCAGAATGAAGACGATGCCGAAGAGCAGACCCGGGAAGAGAACAGCAGTGACCAGCGCATTCTTTCGGTAATCTTGTCCATCAAAGGTCTTGTAGACACGTGCTGAGAAGTAGCCGGAGAACAGGCCGGCAAAGACGAACAGACCGACTCCAACGCTGATGAATCCTCCGCGGAAGCTCGGGTTGAGGACGCCAAGGGCGCTCAGAAGGACCAGTCCGATAGCCATGAAAAGCAGTTGCATGCCCGAACCGACCAAGGGCGCCAGGAGGTAGCCAAAAGCAGGAGTCCTGAAAACATCGGCATGCAGCAGCTTCCAACCCGTGACATCTTCCAATGCCTCCTCGTCGGAAGACACATCCGCATCGTTCTCCACATCGTTTCCTTGGTCGAGAAGTCCGCCAGTCTTCTCTGAAAGCCTGGGAGATCTGTTTCCAGTCTTCTTGCGCTTCAGCTTGGGCTTGCCATCCTCGAGAGGAACCTCCTTGTAACCCTTAATGTCGGAGCGAATAGTCCTGGCCAAGATCATCAGGGTGATACCAGTAAGCAGACCACAGATGATCAGCGAGTTGACGATAGCGAGCCAATGGATCTTGGAGCCTTCCTCCTGGTTGACGAAGTACAAATCCCATCGTCGCGACCACTCAACGTTGTTGTCCTCGCGGAAGTAGACAGAGTAGGTGTAGGGAATGGTGAGCTTGGCGTCGTCGTCGGGGTCCTCGTCGTCTTCCGGCTGGTACGAGGACTGCGAGTACTGCGCCGAGTTGTCGCTCGACTTGTTCGGGGCTAGGTAGAGCTCGAAGTTCTGGTCAATGTTCTGCAGATCAGCAGGGCACCCGCTCTCCTCGCGCTTGGTCTGAGGCCCGATGCTCTTGGGGTAGACCTCGAAGCCGACGACGACCTTGCCGCCTCTCTCGCCAGCCTTGCCAGGTGCCTTGCGCCAGCGGATGACGATGGTGTGGTGGTTGTTGATGAAGTGGCGGGGCTTGCCACCGTTGGCAGCGTAATCTGTGAAGCCCAGCTTGAAGCCGGCAGCGTAGTACTTGCGGCTCTTGTCGACGGTCACGAAGCTCGTGGCACCGGGGAGGTTGTCGACGATCCATTCGGTGACGTAGCCGTCCTGCACCATCTCGCGGGCCCTCCGCATCTCCTTCCTTGAAATCTCGCGATTGCACAGCAGGTTGCATGGCTTATCTTGGCCCACGACCAAGTCAATGTCGGACGTTTTTATCCTGTCGCCACGAAGGACCTCGCCGAGGTTAAGGGGAATGCTCTGTCCGCTCAGCAGCCCGGTGCCGGGCTTCGGCTTGCCCGTCGGGGGGCACACGAAGGGGAGGTCGTAGTACGCATACTGAAGCTGCGTGTTATCGGAGTAGACCTTGTTAACAAGGAGCGGGATCTGTTCGCCGTCGTGGTAGCTCTTGATAGACCAGCCTGCGTCGGGAAATGGTCAGCATCGTCACCCAACAACCCAATTCCTTCCCTAGGAGCTTGCGCAGGGGCGGCGAACCTGGAATGTAGAAGGCGTCAGCCGGTGCGGCGAGCAGCAGGGAGACGAGGCATCCCAAGCCGGCCCTCAGCACCTGTCGCATTGTGTCGAGTGTGGTCGCGAGTAGCCGACTAATTCCGCATGAACCGTTATGATGCTAGCTTCGTGTCGAGGAGGCGAGCTGTTCGCTGTTCGTGTTGTTGGTTTTTCCCTTGGGGAGCTGATCGAGTCGTCGACGGGTGTGTCGCCGAGGAATTGAAAGGGAACCGGGGGCGGTTGAGGTAGATAAGATAGGCGTGGAGGGCGAAATAAAGGTAAGACGGTCGCGTCAAATTCGAGAACCAGGTCCGTGGCTGCACGGTGTCTCTGAGCGCCACGCCGCCGCCGCAAATGGGAGGGGCCTCTTCTCCGGGCTGGAACTAAGAAAGCTGGAGCTGGGGGGAAAAAAGAAGAGGGTCGAAAGGGTCGGAAGGAGGGAAGGCGGGATTAACGAGTGGAATCGGTACCAAGTACCAGAGTTCGGGAAGTTTAGAGAGAAATAAGTTCTGGACCAGAGAAGCAAGCTTGTCGAGAGTGACGCAACTCAGCCACCGCAATCCTCCTGTCGAGACGGGGTCAACCTTGGGGCACCAGCTGCTGGAACTGGCGAACTCGTGTACTGTGCAGCAATCCGATGGCTGTCAAGATACGCGCAAGCAGGACAAAACAAGCAGTAGGGATGAGAGAGTCAGGAGTCAGGACTCGCGGGACACGGGAAGGGAGGAAGACAAAACAAGCACCAAGATGGGACGGAGGCGGGAGGGGAGGGGAGGAAGATGAAAGCTGGGAGGTAGGTCACTGGCACAGGCACTGGCACTGCTGGGAGGAGGAGACGAGACGGGACGACGGAATGCGCGGGAACGGAAATGGGAATCGCAGTGGACATGGGGGGTGCTTGTGCACGGTTCAAGGCATATAGCACTGCAGGCCCTGTTAATAAAGGCGGCAGTCACGTCCCGGGGCAATTCATTACGACGTCCATATGAACATATGAGAGACCGACTTGCGAGACCTCCATCTGACCAGAAGGAAGGTCGCAAGATACGACTGCGGAGTGCCGCCTTTCCTGCTGCATCGGGAAGGCATTTAGGGTAATTCCTGGGCACGGTATTGCCTTATCTCCTGCAGCGCCCTCTGTATGGCCAATTGAAGATGCTCAACCAGTCACCGTCCCCCGCAGTTCGCTCGTCATTTCCCGCCCTCATCCCCGACCCCTATATCTGCCGCTGCCTGTTGTTTAAAAACGGCACCAATCACGCACGCAGGCAAGTTGTGTTGGGGAGAACCAGAAGCCGGCACCAACATTGAAAGGCGTGCAGTGTAATAGGTACGGCACGGAGTGAGTTCAAGCCCTCGCCCAGGACGCAGCCAAGATGAAAGGGGTTTGGCGTCGTCACGTGTATTCGTAGCGCAACGGCCATCGCTTCTTTTCGCCATCTCGAAGCCCCCAAACGGAATGGATGGAGTCGCTGCGAGGGCGGCGCATGCGAACACACAGACACCCACCGCCAGCAGTTACAGGCGACAAGCCAACGGGTTACAGGTTGCAGGTTCCATCTTAGCTTACCTACCTTGCCTTACACTAACTATGTGCTCTCACCTCAGACCTTGCACCTTCGCCCTCTTCCTCAGCCGCCCGTCACTTCAGCTGCTGCAGCCTGACACTAGGTATTACCACATCAAAGAGAGATCGAAACGGACCGCAAAGGACCCTACACCGCGATGTGGGTTGCGATCAGCGCCAGTTCCCCCGCCAAACGCAGACGGCGTCAAGACCTATCAATAGCAACAAGAAAGCCGCAACGGCTTACGCTTCCCGCGACTGGGGAACTCGCGTCCTCGTTGGGTCCGCGCCGGGTGCTGAGACCCAAGCCATCGTCATCTGGGTGCTCAGTGCTCAGAGTTGCTCCAGTCCCGGTACGACGAGGGGGGGAGATCACCTCTTCCCCACAAATAATCAGCAATCGCGAACCCCATGTCGTAATCCTTCCAGAGCTCTTCGTTTTTCCGGGGAGGAAGCAATCTCGCCAAACGCACCCCCCGGTCGGTCCAGAACTTTCCGCCAGTCTCCACTTATTTTCTTCCAGCGTCCGTCCATGTCCCACAGTGCCGTGCCGGTGCGCCGAGTCTAAGCCCACTCTATCAGGCCTCCGCTCCGCTCTGCTCCCGTACACCCGTCCCCTCCCGGAGCTGCTGGAGTACCGGCCTTGGCATCGTCGCCGGACTGGAATACGGCATCTTACCTACAGACCCATTCGTAAATTATGGGCCCAGCGGCTTGAATCGGCTGCATGACTTGTGGATACTGGTCCACCTTCAACTAGCATCAAGTGATCACAGCTTAAGCCTGGCGCATTTATTCCATTTGATTTTCGTATTATTATTGAGTGTATATATCCAATTTGCCTGTGCTCTTTGGGTATCGTTATAAACATGCGAATGTGTGGTATCCGAAGAAATGGATGAAATGACGTTCCAAAAGCAAACCCTTTTTTGATTCCATGCCCAACTCCCAGGTTTCTCGTGCTCTTTCGATGCAGTTCCTTTTCGCATCGAACCCATCTAGTACAAAATGAAACATTTTGACAAAGGAAAAGTATTGAGATGTGGTATCGTGTATGAAAAATCTCCGTCAGTCGTAACTCGTCTTTGGTGGTAAACATTGCCGATACATTCAAGCGGTTGGCACTGCTGCCCTCCTCATCGAAAAGTCACCATATCCTGGCAATACTGCGTTGCCTTGGAACTCGGGCGCAGGTTGCTGCAACAGCCTTGGCTGGAGGTATGCATCAGCTTCCGCCTCTTCCTGTTGCGCCATCACCGCATCGAAGCTCGGCAAGCCCATGTCCTGTTGCACGGGAGGCTCCAGAGCAATCTGAATAGGGACAGCCAAGTTGACCTTGGTGTCGCCAACGACAAGCGTCAGTTGCAGTGTGTAAGTTCGGGAGACGATGCAGGCGTGGAAGGTCGGGATGAACGTCTTGCGCGACGTCGGAAGCTTAAAAGGGATCTGGAGGAGAGCAAGGTGGTTGATTGGCGAAGAGCGATCCTTGCTGGAGCGGCGGCCTCGAGAGTGATCCGAGTCAGAGTTGTTGCCCTGCAGGCCATCACTGGAGTAACCAGAGTCGCGACGAGTGGTGGATGCCAGTTGTTGGCGCCAGTGAGTCTTGTCAACCGTCGCCGACAGCAGGGGAACGGAAGTCTGGTAGGCGAGTTGCTGAGTCAAGGCGTAGACTTCGTGGCTGTCGCCTAGGTTGGGGAACCTCGTCATGGGCGTCGCGCCGTACCATGTTTGGGACTGGATCTTTGCAGAGACAGTGCTAACCTTTGGAGGTAGGATATCGGCAGAAGCAGGCTCAAAGTTGAGGTTAACCATGAGCGTGCCTTCAGAAGAGCCACGGCCGTCCTGAGTAAGATAGACAGCTCCAGGCTGGGCGGCCGAAGCTGTGATGCGTCCCTGCTTGGAAGAAAAGATGTTCTTGCGGATCGTCTTGGTCTTGCTCAGAGTGTACCCCTTGTCCTGCTTGGTGATGTTCAAGGGCGGGTCTTCAGGCGAGGAAGGGAGGACGTTGAGCAGGTAGGCGTCCTCCATGACTTTAGTGGGACGTCCGCCGAGCTCATCCTGACGCACAACGCGGGCCTTGATGGCGTAGTGGATCTGGGCCATGTCGGGGCTCATGTCGTCCTTCTCCCAGCTGCCCATGGATGGCGGCAACCGCATGTGGTGGTCATGAATAAGGTCGGATTGCGCCTTGTGAGTGCACGCGCTGATGGTGAGGTGCTGGGGGATGACAAAGTTGAAGGGGATGGTGTAAGTGCGGCCAGCCTCGAAAATCCGGGGTACGGGGTAGGCCGACTCGGGGATAGGCATATCCAGCTTCAGGAAAGTGTGGGACGACAGCTGGGGAATCTGGACGGCATCCAGACGAGTCCTTGAGGTGCCCAGAAGAATAATCTGGACGTAGTCGAAGCGGCAATCATTGTTTGGTGTGATGATGACGTCTCCAGAGATGGGGCTGCCAGAAGTGTACACCTTGGAGGTGTAGTGGTCGTTGATGTTGATCTCGATGCTCATCTTCTTGTGGCCGGACTGGCGGGCGAAGGTGACGACCGAGCTGATTTCGCTGTGGCTGGACATTTTGACGATTTGGATCCGGGACAAGGATGGTTGATGGTGATGTTGAGTTGTCAATGCCTTTCTATGCCTGACGTGTGAGGGGGAGCACGAGCGCCAGTTGCTTTGGTGTAAGCAGGGCGAACATGAGCAAGTGGACGGCGGTCTAGAACTTCAAGACGGCGTTGCAGTGGATAGCGGTCATATATAGATGACGAGTCGATTGGAGGTCCCTGGATATGTGATGGAAACCAGATGGGGACAAGATGGGTTGGAGTGTGGTAACAGGAATCGAGTTGAGGCTTCTGAGTGGTACGGAGAGTAATAGAGTATCACGATGACAAGAGGAAGGGCGAACCGGCTCTCTTTAAGGCTGAGTCAAAGTCAAGGATGGTCAGGCCCAACAGGAGGTTCGTTTGACTTGTCCAAGCAGCAATCCATGGCAGGAAAGCAGGCGGCGCCAGGGCCGGAAACAAGCCCTCCACGCCTTTGCACTTGCAAAGGGCGGGCTCCTCACCTCCAGCCTGCGTGATGGAGGGAGGTGGGCATCGTACCGGTACCTGAGAGAGGTACATGAGATACATGGCAGATGTACATGTTGGACGAGCACAGACGTGGGAGGAAGAAACAAGAGAGAAAGAGAGACTCACATGGTGTGGAGCCAAGGGGGAAAAAAAAAAAAGAAGGGTCCACACTGGGCCGGTGGATGACTCCCCTAAGAAGGGACGACACAGTGACGCCCTTCCAGTGAGCACGAAGGCTGTTTACAGCGTAGCTGCTCCTGTAGCGCGGCTCTTTGGCTGGGGCAACTGGTGTGTTCCCGCGCAGCGATCTCCCAGTTGCAGGCGCATGTGGAACTCCGAGCCCCGGAATGTGTCACAGGGCGGATTGAACATGGAAGGCTTTTTCTCTCTCTCCAGGGCTCTGCTCGGGCTCTGCGCAGGCTCTGC